TATATAACTACAAATTGAAAATTTTATAAGGGACTTATATGCAATTTAAAAAAAAAAAAAAGAAATTCAGTACTAGTGGATAATAAAATCTTAAGCATACGTTCGACAGTTTTAAAAAATCGCGACTAAAATTCCCCAAAATCGATTCACTCATAAACGCTCAAAATCGTTACTTTAAAAAACGCTTGTAATTGGTACAACGAAACTCCCAAGCAAGCCCCAAAATGCTTCAATTTCTAATGAATTAAGCATGGTGTACAACTAGTTTGATACTCTTTGATGTATCATAATCGAGGCGTTGATTTGAATAAGTATTGTTAACATCAATGGTAAAATTATGTGTCATCTCAATGAGTGCAAACAAAGCTATCAATTATGGTGTGAGCATAGCAAAATTGATTTTTAATTTGGTTGTTGGTTGGAATGAATTATTTTACATGTATATCATGGTTTACACTCTAGTGTACATAATGTCCACGTGGCAATTTTATTATTGGCTGATGAAAAAACAATTTAAACCTTGACAATGGCGAACACGAGGTCGTGGGGGGTCCACTCGACCCCCAACTTTCAGTTCTTTGTAAAACATTTATTTATAAAATCATGTTTATGTAAATTATTTTATGAGACCCACAACTTTTTAACTTTTATCAAAATTTACTAAAGATCTTATTTTAATTCACATCAGACAGAGGCAAAATCATAATAGATTATTTTAACTCCTTTCGATCTTTACAATGTTTGATTGTGTCTCTAACTCAAAATGTCAACTTTTGCCACTAAAATTTGATATACATGTAGCAAACTAGGTGGGAATTGCTTCTTATGCTAAAAAAAAGTTGACCATAGTAAGCCACAATTATTCTTGAAGGAGAATGAACCTGTTATATATTTCCTTCAGGAACAGGCCACAAAGGGGGATAAATTAAGAGCAATTTACAAGTACAATACATTTGATAGCATGATCGACAGTTCTCTCATATACAAGAAATGGGTACCATGATTAAAATAATCGTGGACTCCACATGAAGTTCTTGGAATTTTATAGGCAAGTTGTTGGAGAAAAAAGTTTTTACTCATTAATGGAAAATGATGTGTGTACGGCACCTCTAATTCAAAACTCTTTATTATATCTATTCATTTTCAACCACACAACAAAATATTCTTCATGTAAATTTAAAAATTTTCCCTACTCTTTAATCACCAAAAAATTCACTATTTAAAATATTGCTTTGAACAAATAATGACCATAAAACAGGGGCTAAGTTAAGCCTTCCACATGAAAGAAAAGATACATACTTTATAATGGAGTGTGTGAATGTAGAAGAATGAATATGCTGTATAGGCGTGCAACTCTTTTATGACAAACCACCACAAAAATAAAATTTAAAAGAAAAAAGGACCTAAGAAGTCAACTTAAAAAGAAAAAAGGACTTCAGAAGTCAACTTTCAAGTAAAAAATTACATGTTTTGGAACTGCTTTTAACAAACGCGGTATAGATTAGTCGCGTCCTGTACGATTTCCAGGAAAGGCAGTGGAAGATGTCCAATAATGACTGATCTATAGTCACAAACCACCACACCAAAAAAAAAAAAAAGGACCTAAGAAGTCAACTTTCAAGTAAAAAATTGCATGTTTTGGAACTGCTTTTAACTAATGCATATAGATTAGTCACATCCTGTACAATATTTAGGAAATGTAGTGGAAGATATCCAATAATGACTAATCTATAGTGCATTTATAGACTGAGATTATAAAAATCTAAATCTAGCCTCTTACCATGCACAACATCAATCCTCTTCGAGTTCTAGCCAATTTTCAAAAGAACTAATATAACAACAGAAAGACCCGAAATAAAAAAATGGCATATTTTGATGACTATGCTGAGCCGGGCTATGATCCTGGAAAGTTCAGCTCACCAATGCCATGGATTGGCATCTATGTTGCATTACATCTGCAATCTGCTCCCTTGGAATGGCTCTTGATGCGATCACTGGTTTTTATAAGAAGTCAACTTTCAAGTAAAAAAATCACATGTTTTGGAACTGCTTTTGACAAATGCAATATAGATTAGTAGCATCCTGTACAATTTCTAGGAAAGGTAGTGGAAGATATCCAATAATAACTAATCTACAGTCACAAACCTCAAAAGAAGATAAAAAAAAAAAAAAATAGACCTAAGAATTCATCTTTCAAGTAAAAAGTTACACGTTTTGGAACTGCTTTTAACAAATGCAATATAGATTAGTAGCATCCTGTACAATTTTCAGGAAAGATAGTGGAAGATGTCCAATAATAACTAATCTACAGTCACAAACCTCCCAATAAGATTAAAAAAAAAAAAAAAGGACCTAAGAATTCATCTTTCAAGTAAAAAGTTAAACGTTTTGGAACTGCTTTTAACAAATGCAATATAGATTAGTCGCATCTTGTGCAATTTCCAGGAAAGGTAGTGGAAGATGTCCAATAATGACTAATCTATAGTACATTTGTAGACTGACATTCTAAAGATCTAAATCTAAGCCTCTTACCATGCACAACATCAATTCTCTTCGAGTTCTTGCCAATTTTCAAAAGAACTAATATAACAGCGAAATTATTGGAAATAAAATAATGAGATATTGTGAAGACTTTGTTGAGCAGAGCCGGTACTTGGAATATGATCCCAAAAAGTTCAGCTCACCAATGCCATGGATTGGCATCTATGCTGCATTCGCATCTGCAATCTGCTCCCTTGCAATGGCTCTTGATGCAATCATTGGTTTCTATAAAAAGAAATTTTGGTTTCCATGCAGAGTTTTTACTCTTAATGCTGCTTCATTGACATTATTAGCTATTGCAGTGAAGTTGCCAATGGATTTAAACAATCCAATGCCAGGAAAACCTGATCAGCTTGCAAAACTCAGCAGCACTGTTCTGATGTCAACAGCAATGGCTAATTTTATGCCCTCTCTGGGATCCATGGATGGCAAGGAAATCTTTATGAATATGACAGCCTTGGGGATATTTGTCATCACCCTACTTGTGAATGTATGCATCCAGTTATCCACTGGTGTAATCTACTCCGTAAGAATGGAGCAAGTTCTGGTTATGTCTTTCATAGTTGTCATGTTTGTCATTATGAGTTTCTCGTCCTTGGTGGTTCCGACAACCAAAAAGCACTTGGAATTTGAGTTCCGGAAAATTGATAGCTTGATAGCCAGTGAAGATCCGCGAGAAAATGGAATGACTGCAATTGAGAAACTCAAGGAAGACGTGAAGAAGTATTGGATAATGGCAGAAACCGGTCACCCCCAATTTGTGATGGCACGATCTGTGACCTGCACCGCATGTTGTGCAATCTGCTTTCTTAACGTTCTAGTACTTTCAGAAGCATTTCTTCGAAGTAAGTACTTTCACTTTCACTCTCTCGATGGTTATCCCGCTTCGGACTATGGGGAATCGACGTATGCCATTGCGTGGATTCAGTTCATAGGCGTGATAATAGGCTCAATTAGCTCTTTATTTCGATTGGTATATGCCGTGAAATTTAAGCGCTCTATAGAAAAGATTGATAAAACTGGGTTCAAATTGGAGAAGTATTGGATTGAAAGGCTGTTGGACTGGAAAGAGAGACCTTTGGCATTACAAATACCGAATAGGAGATGCCAAAAAGTAGTCCGCAAAACAACAGATCTGATGCTGTCTTTCTGTATAAAGATTCAAATTGCAGTGGTGGCAGTAAGCAAATCTTTGTTGCTCATGTCGACTTTATTGATTTGGCCGTTCTTCTCGTGCTATTTCTGTTTCTTGAGGTGTAGAGATTATCTTAAATCCAATGGTTCAAAAAATAAGCAAGGATCAGGACTCGAATCAAAAGATCTAGATATAAGTCATTATGTTTTATATCTTGAAGGTGAGGAGCAACTTCCTAAAGCCATGGAAAACAACTACTTATCAGTTGTTTCTAAAGGTCGAAGGCAGCCACCACAACAACTAAGAGATTTTCTTCATGAACTGACTGATTTCAACAGCTTGGCAGAATTTGATAGCAGTCAAATTCCATCTGTGCTTTCTCTAGAGCCACCAAATTGTTGGAAATTGCCTGTTGTGACATTATCAAGCATTCTCATAGCGATTCCTAACATTGATAATGAAAAGGTGGAGTCTGTGCTGAACTGTGTGCGTAAAGGTATGGCATACGTCAGCCTCGTAGATGAAGTTCTTGCCAAAAAATTGGATTTGAAGAAGGTTAGTGAAGCAGCAGATGCTACATGGTTAGACGTGGATCTCCTCGGTAGGTGGAAAGGTGAAGACCTTCGGAACATGGCTACTGAAGGAAAAACATCCAAGGAGATTCTTGAAAAGCTTTGTGTCATTGCTAATAACTATGTCATCGAATTCAAGACGAAAGGAAATATAGTACCTGAAAATCTCGAGTTGTCCATTAAGGTAATTGCTGCAAACTCAATGTATCGAATCAGCCAAACTCTTCTGCTGCTGTACAATGGTATCAGTGAACCCAGTGAAGAGGAAATCTTCAAGCACATATCCATTCTCATTGCAAATATATTAGGTGCTTGCCTTACCAATGTACCTCAGGTCATAACTATGAATTTTGGGTCCATTGCCCTCAAGAAAAGGGAGAAGAGCGTCTGCCGTGCTGCTCGAATTCTTGGTGAAACAGAAGAAATTTTAGAAGTCCTCCAAAAACATGACCTTCCAGACCTGACACCAGAAAAGCTGCTCAATATTGATGAATGGCGCATTTCAATGGAGGAGAAAATTCTTTCATCCCCTATTACTGCATCCAGTGGCACTAGGCCTTCTAGTTTTAATGAACTGCAGATAGTTGTTGCTCAGTAGGAAGCTTGTGAGTTTTAAAGAAAATATATAATTGAGGGCCCGTTTGGTAGGGATTTTGAGAATTGATTTTTTGACCGTTAGAAGAAAAGTGGGGTCCACATGTGAGAGAAGAAGTCAAAAATTACGGCTTGAATAGTAAAATAACGGTCAAAAAATCAATTTTTTGGAACAAAAAATCCCTACCAAACGGGGCCTGAATCTGTGTATTTCATTGATCAAGTATATGTTATGTACAAGCATATTGCAAAAGTTCTGTTAACATTCTTAGACATGTATCTTACTATTTCTGCTCCACGATGATCAGAATTTTTAGGTTCCTTTGAGAGGATGCATGCCACCAATAAAGCAGTGCCTCATTGACTGAAGAAACAAAATATTCTAGTATTGGAAAACATATTGAATTAGCTTAGATTAAGCCTTTTCAACCAGAATTGCCTAATCAAGAAAGGCCTTGATATTTATAGTAGGTGTACAAAGACAGACATGAAGCCTGGTGCAAAATCTGCTCAGTCACCTCCTCAAAGTTACAGTTGCTAAGTTAAGGTTAGCCGAGCCTATAAATTCATAATGGATTTGAAATCCTCTAAAAACATGGGTTGTAACTCCTCCATTCTTGACTGTATTTTATTTGTAAACTAAAAATTTCAAACCATTATCAAATCCAAATCCGTCAATAAGAAGTGCAACGGTACTGAATAAGCTTAACCATTCTAATGCTTGATTACCGTAAGAACTACTAGACGGCTGGTATATTCAGAGTTCTCACGATTGCAGATTGTATATCTATGTGATGATCAGGGATATGTTGAAAGTGTCATTCTTCTAGGTAGGCCAGTGCATTCAGGCTGTTTAGTTCAGTTGTCTCAATTAACTGTCACTGAATTAGATTATTGAACCAATTACGATGATGTTTTTTTACAAATTGCAATTACAATACATGTCTAAGAATCTTACATAACATTCTCAGTGTAGCTTTTATTCAACAATTATCTGCACCTCATCTGAGCTAGAAGAACTAATGTCAGTACTGGATGTAGTATTACTGTATTAGGAATGGATGGAGATTTCTAATTCATTGAAGTGGGCATTCATCAGTATATGGCATCTGTTCGGGTATCAGATTGTGAAGATCATGTTTTTGAAGAACTTCTAAAATGCCTTGGTATCACCAAGACTTCGAGCTGCCTCTTGGACACTCTTCTCCCTCTTCTCAAGAGAAAAGGACTCAAAATTTATAGTGATAACTTGAGGTATGTTGGTAAATGAAGCACCTAATATACTTGCAATGAGAATGGATATATGCTTGAACAGTTCCTCACCAGTAGGTTCCCTGATAACATTGTATTGCAGCTGAAGATTTTCTTGATTTGATACGAGATCATTAGCAATACAGAGAAATACATAACTTGGGAAGTTGTTTTGCAGAGGAAACAATCTCACCTGCAGAGAAATACTTAACAGGCTGTAAATTAACATGGAATTTTCACATGAACAGCAACAGCTCTATCGAGGAAGCAAAACTTGATAGCCTGCAAAAAATGTAATCATTATATTAAATCGTTTGCGAAAGAAAACATGAAATACAATCAAACCATCTATGACTATCCCAATAAGACGAAATGAAAGCTGCCATATTGTGGGTTGTTGTCTTGATTTATAGCTGACGAACATACATTTTCAGAAATACTAGAGCAAAGATGGTCCATTTAGAGATGCACTGGAAGATTGTGCAATATCTTGAGAAAGTAATCTTCAGAAGGTATACTTGACTGGATTCCGCACAAGGGAATTCTCATCTGGAGCAACATCTGCTGATTCTGATAAAAAGCTGGTCTCGCAAACATAAGCTGGGATCCAGACTTTTTAGCCCTGTCATCACACGTCTACAGCTCCAACGGAAAATCCACCTCAAATGTCCTATTGAGATAACGCACCAGATCCCATTAATATATCAATGTTTAGACAAAAACAAGCAATGCCATATTATGAAACTGACCAGTACAATCACCAAAAAACAGCAGGATAATGAAATGTTAGAATATACAACATCAGCAATCTTTCAGCTTCTTCTAGTTTACAGCAGATTCTAGAGACTTCCACCTCAACAGTTCAGATTCCATCGAGATTTTATCTCCAGTTGTTATGTTAGATAGTAGTTTAGTTAGTTAGTTAGTTGTTAGATGCTAGTTATTTTAGTTAGCCACTCACACTTGTGTCTATAAATATAAAACTTTGTATACCTTTTAGTTCATTGGATATTTTCCAGTCTTCAATGTGATTTCATATTGAATTTATCCTTTCTTCTTTTCACTCTCTATGCTAGGGAGATGATTTCAATCTTTTCTTCTTTTTACTGCTCTCTAGTTCTATGCTGGGAGAATTTAACAGAAACGCATAGGAAGGACAGGTACAGGTATTGTTGGCAAAATTTAATCCAAAAGTTTCGACAATGGAAGCTGCAAAAATGACCTATTGCCGCACCAATATTCAGCCCATGTGTTCCTGCTTAAAGGCCGAAAGGATGTGGTTGTGGATAATATTCACACAAAATATCCTGCACTTCGCACATAAGCTTATTGTTTGTTCAGATTCAGACACCACGCATAAGTAAAAAGTTTCTGGGAAAAGGGCACTTTATTCTACAAATCCTCCTTAAAAATCTTTAAAACACTACAAATTCAGTTGCGTCGGAGATATAGTCCGCCGGAGGTGTTGCCGCAGGAGAGGTCGGTTGAGGCCACATGAGAAGTGAGGAGTAGGGATTTGGTCGTCTCAATTCAATTTAGGTATGTCAATAGCAAGGCGTGTTTGGCTACTTGGATCTTTCACTTGAGCACTTAATGGTCCATTTAAATATTCCGTTGTCCAGCTCGCCTGATTCATTGATGGATTTAAATCGATTAGTAACTTAGTGCAATGAAGAAAAATTTAGTTCCCATTACCATCACGAAGGGTGCGTTTGATTGACATGGAAAATATTACCTAAAAAAGAAAATATTTTCCATCTTTTATGGAAAATAAAAACCATCTCTACCCAAGGAAAATATTTTCCTTAAAAACAAGAAAAATTAGACATATTTTCAAAAGTTGAAAAATGTTTTCCTTGAAAAAAATAGCAATCAAACACTCTAAGTAGAAATTTGGGTGAAAAATTAATATTTTTCATGAAAAATAAATATAATCAAATACACCCGAAGTGTAAAGACATTTAACTTCTAGTTTACTGTTATGAATGTGTTTTCGGTTCCAATTAAATTAGGGTTTCATTCTGAATTAACCCAAATCTATGCATATAGTGTTTTCAACTCTAATCAAATTAGGTTTCTTCTTTGAATCAAATAACACATCATTCGTTTCCATCTGATCGATAGAAACCCATCATGGGAGGCCATGGCGGTCTAAACATTCTCCCGCAGAAGCGTTGGAATGTGTACAATTACAAGAACCGAGAGCAAGTCAAGCAAGATGAGGAAGCCGCCGCCAAGGAGGAGCAGCTGATGCGCGAGCAAGCCCGCGAGCGAGATACCGAATCTCGCCTCGAGAAACTCCGCCAAGCTCGCTGCTTGTCAAGCGCAGCCCACGCCTCGAAACCATCCACAGCAACCCAAACTGTATCGTCTGCCGAACCACCCAAATCAGATTCCGACTCTAAGCACATAAATTTGTTTGAAGGGATCAAAATTTTCGATCCAATTAAAATCGATAGAAAGGAAGACGAGAAGAAAGGGAAATTTAGTGGTTATAATGCTAATAAGAAGATGAAGAAGGAGGAATCCGTGCCGGTAGTGGAACCCGAGGATGAAAAGTAGAAGTTGGGGTATGGAGTGGCTGGAAAAGGAGTGAAATTGCCGTGGTATATGGAAAAGCGTATAAGTGGTAATGTGGATGAGAAAAATGGTGATGAGAAACTGAAGGTAAATGAAAAGAGTGGTGGAAAGAAGACTGTGGAGGAGTTAAGGGAGGAGAGGTTGAAGAGGGAGAGAAAGGAAAAAGAAAGGGAAAGGGCTTTGATCGTGGAGAAGTCAAGAAAAGATGGAGGGTTTTCTTAGAGGAGGAGAAGAGGCAATTTTAGAATATTGTATTGAAATGATTTTGGTTTGTACATTACTTCGATATTATTAAGGAGAATAACTGATACAAATTGAAATCATTCTACTGTTTTGTTAAGAGATTAATTTCAGAGCAAGTGTACAGGGAATTGCTTCACAGGGTACCCTCAAATGGAGCCAGCCCCATGTGATTTTTTTTTTTCCCCTTCAAAAATGAACCACCCATCTGTACACATAGTACTGCTCTCAATGTCATGTCCTCTTAGCTGTGTTTTCTAAGTGAATGTAATGAAAATGTGAATTTTATATGAAGTGAAAGATTTGTCAATTCCATCTAAATAATGTTTTGCTCTGTACCTGGTGTGGCTTGGTACTTTCAATCTTCACGTCCAAAGAAGGTATTACGTGCTCCATAAACTTTGCTCTCTAGCACTTTTGGTGCAAATTATGTGAAAAACAAGCAGTAGAAATTGGTATTATAATGGAATGTATGAGATTGAAGAAATGAATTCTCATTGTTCTGTGATCACCATAACCTTAATTATAGATATTTCACCTGTATGATTTGATTGTAATTAATGCAAGTTGATGAACTATGATTTATGAATAAATTTCTTCAAATCCAATTATGCTCTTTGCATTTTTGTCTCTTAATCTTACAATATAAGCCTAAAGGTTTGCTATTGCAATAGATTTGCTGCACGAACATTTAGGAAAGTTTGGTCCCTGTTCTACCTTTATCACGACAAGCTTGATCAGTGAAGCCGTTGGTCGTGATTTAGAAATGGCATGTACAAGCCAGTTGCATTCCCTAATAAGGGCTGGCCTGATTCTATTCCAACACATTTCCAACTTCCATGAACATGGCTTTGAGAGATGTAGAAAAGAAGTGAAACTTAATTCTAATTGCTAAAGGTTTGAGTAGTGACTTCAATTTCTGCTTGCACAGTGTCTGTAGTCATTGATGTGGATGAAAAACTTCCTGAAGAAAGTTGGATTAGTTGTGCAATAAATGAGAAGAAGAGTACACCTTCTGATTCTGGGATTGGATTTGCTGGATCAATTAGCCAGCTTTAGCCTCATCGAAACCCTTTAGCACTTCTTTTTCTTGCCTTCTCTGCTTGCATGCTGTTTCTTATGTCTAAGCCAAGCCTGCAATACAATGGATATCTTTGCGCTCAACGTCTTATGGCATTGCAAATTTTGCTCGTAGACTTGTGATGGTCCCCTTTCATTCCAGTCTCATGTTTCCTTATGGTCTGGTGATTGAGCTTCTCTTGTGCACAGAGATGCACTGGAGACCAGACTGATAGACGTAACTTGATCTTAATTTTGAAGGCAGAATATGAGGCTTTGTGGTCCTCCTAATTTAGTTTACTTATTGTACTTTAGACTAAAAATGTTTGTACTATCACAGAATCATATATTTTAGATTCAACTTATGAATTCTACATTTATTTGGGTTATTTTGGACCTTTTGAATCTGCCTTCTTTTATTCTAGTAAAGTTTTGAGCTTCCTTTATTGCAAAGCATTAATAAGTTTCTGAAGCTGCAATTATAGGCATTAACAACTGAAGTATGTTACAGCAACACGTTACCTTGTGCTTATTGTGAGCTCAGTATGTTACAGTACATACATGTCACTGTACCTCTGTATTTATTACTGTTAGTTTTACTATCTGTTATAACATAAGATCTTGTATTTGCAAACTAGACATCTTCTGTGGACGTGGTACTGAGTGTAAGTGTGAAATCGGCAACATATTTATAACCCTCCTGTCCACTTGTCTATACCTTCTACATTTGATGAGTATTCGTCTCCTCCTTTATCTTTCTACATCCTTCTCTCTCTCTCTCTCTCTCTACTCTAAGGACATGTTCGTCTACTTATTTTAAAGTGATACAGAAGTTTCTCTTCTCTGGAAAATGTTAGTGTATATTGATAGCACTGGTACAAGCAGTTGGTATTTCTTGGCAAGTACAGTAATTGACTCGAATGAGATCATTCTTTTCCTTTGCTAACCTAGTTTCATTACCATTCCACCTTTGGGGTACTAGTTTAATGAGTTCATTCTTTAAAGGGTGAAAGTAGTGGTGTAAAATGGATTTGGTTGTCTTGAGAGTCAAGCAGCTTTTTAAGGGAGTCGCATTTCCAATAAGTGCGCTAGACTTGGTTCACCATACCAAAAGAATGCGTCTTCTTGCTGGCCTAAGATGTAAAAATGAAATAATTCCCAAGTCATTTATACAAGTTGTTAGGTGCGTAAGTTGATACTATAAACAAGCTGAGGAAGCAATGAAACTGTATTAGTCATAACTTCATTTTCATCACAAATGTAATGTTTTGTGTTTTTGTATTTTTTATGTTATTCCCAAAGCTGTATTTCTATATTTCCTTTTTTTCCTTGCCCCAACTTTCCCTCTTGACAGAATCGAATCTGAACTTCACGGGTGATGGTATATCATATAGATTATATATAACGGAAAAGTAAAAATAAATTTTATATCAAATACCTTTGATCCCTTCTTCCCTACAAGTAGTTTGAGCAAATCTTGATCATGATGGACAACCCCCTAGCGTCGGCTAGCTGGGAAGGGGAGTTGGGCTGGGGTAAGGAGTGAATGGGATTTGCCGAGTAGACATGCCTGGACTTGATAACGATCAAGATAAAGTCTCGGTGGAGCAGAACACCCTGGTTGTCAAGGGGAAGGTGAAAAAGAGTCCTAGAATGAAGAATATGGAAGAAGATACTCGAGCATCTGTATAAACTCGATGGGAGAAAGGCTGAGATGAAGAATGAGATGTTGAAAGTCTCGGTGGAGCAGAACACCCTGGTTGTCAAGGGGAAGGTGAAAAAGAGTCCTAGAATGAAGAATATGGAAGAAGATACTCGAGCATCTGTATAAACTCGATGGGAGAAAGGCTGAGATGAAGAATGAGATGTTGAAAGTCTCGGTGGAGCAGAACACCCTTTCTATCAAGGGGAAGGGGAAAAAGAGTCCTACAATGAACAATATGGAAGAACATACTCGAGCATCTGTATAAACTCAATGAGAGAAAGGCTGAGATGAAGAATGTTGTGGACGAAGAGAGGAAAGATGTGTTTTAGGTTAATATCAATCGATAATGTGTTGTGTAAATAAAGGGTTTTGAGGAGAAATGATATAATGAGCGTCAGTACTTATCTTATGCTGAAAACTTATGTTATGCTAAAAACGGGTGATATGTAATATTAATTCATTGGTGTATGATAAATTTAATTCAAATGTTGAGATCCTACAAAATCTTTCTCAACCAATGATTGATACAACACGTCATTGGTACTTATCATAAGATGAGTACTGGTGATCATTAGTTCGTTTCTTAGGTTTTTGAGCATTCTTAGTTTATTCTTATTTCTCGATAATAATGTCTGGATAAAGGTTTGTAAATCTTCTTCTTTTTCTTGTTCGTTCCTTGAAGCTTAGCCATGCTGCCATGTCTTATCAAGATATTTTAACTTATTTAAGTCAACAAAATGACACTTAGCAGCTTAAACAAAAATTCTAAAAGGATCAAACGGCATCATTTAACCCAGGAAAAAAATACAAAAAATTCACAAGAAGAAGAAGAAGAAATAAACATTACAAAAAAAGGACAAATAAATGGTCTTATGCTCTGTCTCTATCTCTGATCGGTTTGAACCCATCCCATGCACAATATCTTGTAATCATCTATAAAGATGATTGAAAAAAATGTCACGTAAAGTGTTTGAAATCCAATCTTTAATTGCATCTAAAGCAGACTGACTGATTATCTTCATCATCAACATAATGAAGAGAATTATTGAACTCCTGTAAAAAAGTAGAAATCATATAAATGAAAAGTGATTCTAATTAAGATTAAACATGTGACATTTCCATGTTTGCAGCATATGAG